CTGCCCCCACCCAGGCCCTGAAGCACAATCCCACCCGCACCCGCCCATAGCTGGCATTTTTTTCACTATCCTCACCCGCCCGTACCCGCCCATACCCGCCATTGCTTTCCACGTTTTCAAAACCCTACCCACCCATACTCAGCCTGACCATTCCCACCTAAACAATTGGTGGTCCCGACAATATAGAGCCCTTGATCAACCATTGGAACACAAGAACAACCAGGTACTTGAATGACAAGTCTCGAGACAACTGCGCATGCCACATATGAGTGGGCAAAAAAAAGTCATGAGACAAAAGTCAAAGCATATCGAGGTCACACCTCCAGCAAAACAGTGGTCTGTTTAAAATAAAAAAAAAAACATGACAAATAGGGCCCAGTTCCCCAACACTGCCAACAGACATATATGCAAGGGTGTAGACCCCCACATGCATACATGCATATCCTTTTGGTGGGTGACCCATGCCAAGTCTAGACCCGCCCACATCTGGCCATTTTCCTTTTTGTTTACAAAAGGCCACCCACAACTGGCCCCTTTGTTTCCACCGCAATTGCCCCCAACCCGGCCCAGGGCCATCCTCCCATCACCTGGCCACACCTGGCCAGGTGGGACATGGACTAGCCAGACCTGCCCGCAGCTGTCGGGTCCGGCCGGGGGGAGCTGGGCGCGGCTACTGCCAGCCATTTGCAGGCTCTGGAATAGCATCAAGGGCACTGGTGGTCCAAAAAAACGGTATGAAATAAGTTCAAATAACAGAAGCTGCCGCATTATGAACATCCAACATTGTTTTGCGTTTTCTCCCAACGCTCTGTATTTTTAACTTTTCTTGCTTTCTCCATTGTCAGTGCTGCCTCACCTGTTTCAATAGTCCGATACTGAGCCTACTCACTTGGTGAAAATGATAAACGTGACACGATAATCTTTACCTTTGAGGAAAGTGTCCATGAATTTTCCACCATACCGAATTGCTGCACCGTGAATTGCAACCTGAACACGCACAGACATACACGAAAATGGTAAGAAAAAAGCTCTACACTCTGTAGAATGTTTCTGACGTAGCAATGGGTTTCTGATGTAGAGGGGGAGTTCAAACTAGACCAAGCACAGGCAGCGAGTCACCAAACGATAGACAAAGGTAGCGAGAGAGAGAGAGAGAGAGAGAGAGAGAGAGAGAGAGAGAGAGAGAGAGAGAGAGAGAGAGAGAGAGAG